ACATCATAGCCTCATCATAGGTCAAAGGATCATCTTCCACATTAAAAATGTATGGAAATTGCGTTGAAACATATTCCCTTGATCCTTCAACTAAGTACACATGAAAGTCCAGGCCAAAATATTTTTCTTGCCTTGCCCTCTTACTTCTCCTAGGTTGTGATGATGATGTAGATGCCTCCTTTAAATGAGTTTGGTCATCCAACTCTTGATCACTAATGATTTGGTCAAGACTTTGAGCATTGGTATTTGGAGTTATGTCCTTTGGTCTAGGAAAACAATGCATCCCTTGACTCAATGGTGGTGTGAATCGACTAAAAGTCATTTTGTTCAATTACATAGAACCTATAGGATTTGCTATGATCCGCATATCCTATAAAAATGCATTCAACTCCTCTTTCACCTAACTTTTTAAGTTTAGGTTCTGACACTTTTACAATTGCCCTACAACCCAAAACTTTGAGATGACTCAAGTTTGGTTTCCTTTTATACCATAGCTCATATAGGGTTGCATCTTTCTCTTTCATGGGAACACGATTTAACACGTAACAAGCCTTTAAAACGGCTTCACCCCCAAAATCCATCACTCTAACCTGAATATGACAACATAGAATTTACCTTTTCTTCTAGTGTCCTATTCTTCCTTTCCACAACACCATTTTGTTTTGGTGTATATGCCGCAGTAGTTTCATGTACTAAACCTAAAGATTGTAAATAACTTGGTTCATAGTATTCACCTCCTTTATTGGTTCTTAGCTTTTTAATCTTTCCATTGGTTTGCAATTCTACTTTATTTTTGTAGATTTTAAATTTGTCAAGGGCTTCATCTTTAGAGAATAACAAATAAATGTAACAAAACCTTGAATAGTCATTAATAAAAGTTACCAAATACTTTTTATTCCCTAAAGAAGGTGTGTTGTGAAAATCACACAAGTCACTATATATGCACTAAATCAAGCAATGAAGTATTTTTCCCAACAACTTTAGGAAATGGTTTCCTTGTGATTTTGGTTAACATGCATGTCTTACACTTCTCTGTTCTTTGATCAAACATGGGTATCAAATCATGCTTATTCATAAAATATAAATTTTTATAATTAACATGACCAAGTCGCAAATGCCATAGGGAACAATTATCATTAATAACATACACAACATCATTCAAAGTATTTGAAATACTTAACTTAAACATACCATTACACAAATAACCAAGTCCTACAAATTGACCTCCTTTAGATAAAATAAATTTATCTGACTCAAACTCCATATTAAAAGCTAATCAATTCAAGATCGCACCAGATACAAGATTCCTCCTAATTTCGGACAATACAACACATCTCTTAAAATAAGAGACTTCTCGAACTAAAGACTAGCTCCACTTTTCCTTTGCCAAGCACCTTAGCTGTAAAGTCATTGCCCATATAGAGAGTTTCTCCATCATCAACCTCCAAGAAGGTATTGAACAATGATCTACCCTTGCACACGTGCCTCGATGCGCCCGAATCGATATAACACGAACAATCAGCCTGTACACAATTGATTTAAGAAATCATACACATATAATTAAATGAATTAAATGAAATTTGTGCACAAGATTTACCTTGTTTGTCTTGGGATTGGCTAGCATTGCCATTCCCATCTTGAGCCTTCTTCTTGCTTATTTTTTTTCTTCCAGATTGTGCAATCTTTCTTGAAGTGTCCGGGTTTTCGACAAACCCAACAAACACGTGACAACCTAACAAGCACGTGACTTTGAACCATCACCGCTTAACTTAGGCTTCTTGTCCTTATTTTTATTTGAGTCATCTCACATTTTGCTTGACATCCTCCACTACATTTACCGTAGTAGAACTAGGATTTGCATCCTTATTTCCCTCTTGCACCCGGATTTCTTCCTCAATCCGGATGTGAGAAGCCAAACTCTCAAGGTTAACATCATCCTTCCAATGCTTTAAACCACTTTTAAAGTCTTTCCAAGAAAAAGGTCATTTGTCTATTATAAATGACACTACAAAGGTCTCATCAAGAACTATGTTATGATGTCTAAGACTTCCTAATACTCTTTGAATCTCATGAAATTGTTCCATAATAGGCCTAATTTCAACAAACTTATAATTGTAAAATTTACTAACAAGAAATTTCTTGCTAGAAGCATCTTCAGCCATAAATTTATCCTCTAATTCATCCCATAGAGACTTAGTAGAATCATTAAACTGATAGATATCAAAGAGTTCATTAGACATACCATTGAGTATATGGCCACAACAAATGTAATTGTCATTCTAGCTCCCACTTGTTGTGTTTCCTTGTTTCATCCAAAGTTTCCTCATCCTTCTCCTCGGACTTTGGAGTAGCAAGAACATAAACCACTCCAATTGTAGTCAAGAAGAAATGCATCTTCTTCTGCCACCTTCGGAAATCAACTCCCTCGAATTTGTCCAACTTTTGTATGTTGGTCATCAATTCCTTAACATTTGCCATCTTTTTTGAATTATACTTTTGGATTGTTGGAGATTTTGTGTTTACAAGGGTCACAAAGAAAAGCAAACAAATTAGAACGGAAAAACTTCAAGGCGTAAACGGAATCACTTTTCCAAAAGTATAATTCCGACCCTATACTACAACCAAGTTTCACGAAAATTTACTTAGGAGATACAACAAAAAGCAATTGCAATCAAGAGTAGGATGATTACAAAACAATGTATAAAAGCCTTTGGAATTGTGATGATAATTAATTAAAAACTTTTGCAAAATGATGAGAATGAAAAATGGAGTTACTGTTCGTAACTTTTCATTCACAACCTCCAACATATATATAGCAATATAATTATAGAATCAACAACCACCAAATAACCATCAAAATGTCGGCATTAGATTTCCAAAAACTGATCGGGCCCGATCGGGCAGTGAATGCCCGATCGAATGGAAAGCAGCGTCAACAAGAAATTCACGTACGAGCCCGATCGGGCGGTACCAGCCCGATCAAACGGCAGAAGCAGTTCTACCAACCTCAGACGCGCGCCCGATCGGGTGGTGACTACTCGATCGGGCGGAAGATTATAGCCAACCCAGTATCGCTTGTGCGCCCAATTGGGCTATGCTAGCTCGACCAGGCGGCTTTGCGGCGTTTGATAATTTTCCCTTTGAATTTAGCCATCTTCCTTGTTCCGATTGAATATGATATGCTGCTGCTACTTGGGTTATGTTCTTGTTCTAATCCTTGTTTAATCAATTACAACACCATATCCTAAGCAATTAATTAAAAAACATGGAATTTATCTTAAATACTCTAAATCATATAACAGTACATTGTATGAAAGACCGCTTGAACTATATTATATTAGAGTTAACCCAACTTATTTATGATTCATTCAACTTTCCAACGATACGAACCAAGCAGATTTCAACGATACAAACAAAGTGTCCATGGTTGTCTTTGGTTTTTTTGGGACAATTTTGTGAGCTTAATGATGTTCAATGCAGCTTCAAGAAGGCTATGTAAATTATCTATATGTAATTAACTTGATCATACATGAGCCTTTATTGTTACATTGTAACCCTACATTATTTTAGTAGAATCCTTTATTGTACAAGTATAACCCTGCAAACATAATCGATGAGTTCGACCCTTCATTGTTTCAATGGAACCCTTCATTATTTTAGTGGAACCATTCATTGTTTTAATGGAATCCTGCAATTCACCCTATAGAGTCATACCCCTATTTGTTTCAGTGGAACCCTATGACGTTTAAGTGGAACCCTACAATGTTAAGTGGAATCATACAATGTTTCAGTGAAACCTGACCCGTGTACACTTATACTAATGCAAAACTATGACTGAAAATATCTTTAATCATCAATAAGTAAAAATTATAATAATTAGATGATTCCAACAAGTATTCACATGACTATATTTTATTCTTATGTATAATCATAAACATTAGTCAAAGTGTGCTAGAAGAATAATACAAAAAATCAAAACATTTCATTATTTAAACACGGAGGGAGTAAAAAAAATTTCATGATCGCTTCTTTGGAAAATTACTTTACTAATTATGCACTATTCAATCACTATTTTTTACTTACTCATAAATGTCACGATTTATTTATGTAATATATCATTTGATTTCTCATAAATGGCACGATTAATTTATGTAATATATCATTTTATTACTCATTATAGCTTTTTCATACAAAAGGGTACCAATAAATCACAAAAGGGTTTCACTAACTTACAGAAGAGTACCACTGATATTATATTTGAATCAACTTTTATTCAACATACAAGAGCAAATGGTAGTTAAGGACTACCCTTCAGTGGCGTCTCCAGGATTTCCAAATAGGGGGTTCGAAATTTCGAAAGTTCAGAATCATAATTTACAATTGAATGAATTGCATATTTGCATACAATTATGTACGAATTGCATATTTGAATACAATTATACGAATTGCATATTTGCATAAAATTATGTAAAGACCAAAAGTAACTCAACGAATTTCACCAGTTTCAATGATAGGCTAAGTGGCTAACAGCAACAATACGGCAAACCACTCGCCAATTAACAGCAACATGCAACAATACAGCAACAATAGGCTAACTGGAAACTGGAAAGAATGGATACGAGAAAGAAATAAACCAAAAAATATCAATAAGCAAACCACTCACCAATACGGCAATACTGCAATACAGAAGTTCACACAATCACTATAAAATTATTTTTTCAGATTTTTTTTTAGATAATAAAAATCAATACATCATAATTTATCAAGATTCAAGAAGAAGAATATCTTTGCATACGGCAATACGGCAATAGAGGCATACAGCAATACAGCAAACTAAGAAGAAGAATATCTTTGCAATTGCATACAATTTTTTTCAGATTTTTTTTTAGATAATAAAAATCAATACATCATAATTTATTATCAAGAATTCATTCATTCAAGATCAAAACAAATAGTATGTAAAATATATGAAATTAAGAAGTAAAAATTCAGTTATTCACCTACAGAGCCACGAAATATGGATGAGTGGATGACGGAGCAGTGGAGCACCGAGCACTGATTATCCCCTTCTAATCGACTTCTGCAATAAATCGATGATAACCCATGACAAGAAGTCAAGAACAATGTACAGATTACACTAATTACAGAACATGAGAACAATGTAGTACATTCTAAAACAACCTCCATTGAATCATTGATAAACACTCTAAAACAATAGACAATCAACACTTCAACCGACAATCAACATTCAACACTTCAACAGGCAACAATTCAAGTATTCAACAAACAACAATTCAAGTACAGGCTATACAAATTACACTAATTCAAGTCAACAGACAACAATTCAACAAATGAACTACTTCTACAATCTACAAACCCTAAATCAGTAAATGAAAATCAGATACTTCCTTCCCCAAGACCCCAATTTCAACCATTTTTTCAATAGACAGTAGTCACCCAAAAACCCAAAATTGATAGCTAAAGTTCATCACACATTCACACATTCAAACACCACGTATTCACGTAATTATCTACAAAAATCATGAAACCAAAAACTTTATATATTATTAACCCAGAAGGCCAGATAGAACTAGATAGAAGACGACATACAATTAAAGCCTTAAAGGAAACCGGCAAAGTGGGCTGACTAGTGACTACTGGCCTACTGCCGACCTGCCGTGCTGCGGTGCTGGCTGAGTGCCTGAGTGGCTGCTGCGGACTTCTGCGGTGCTGCGCCCGTGCGCCGGGAAGAGAAGGAGCCAAGGAGGAAGAACGGGAAGAGAAGGAGCCAAGGAGGAAGAACGGGAAGAGATTAAGAGAAGGAGGAAGAAGTTAGGGTTTTGCAATTTGGGGGAATGAGGAAGAGGAAAGCTGGAAGCAGGGGATTAGGGGAAGCAGGATGAAAGGAAACAAAATGAAAAAATAAAAGTGTGAGTTATGGGTTTCGAAACCTGAACCCACAAACTCTTGTATCATTGTATGATGAGAGGTAAAAATAACCACTGGGCTACAACTTTACTTGTTGCCATATAATACACAAATATTCTATTTAAACCTATTTTGATTTTTTTTTTTTTTTAAAAAAAAAAGTTTTTAATTTTTTTCAAAAAATCAGTGGGTTCAATGAACCCACTTGAACCCACCGTGGCTCCGCCCCTGCTACCCTTTTATGTCACAATGGTACCACTCTGCATTGAAAGGGTGTTCCACTATAATATCGTATAGTGAAACTGAAACACGGACATCATTGAGTTACTTGAGTAAAACAACAGTACACTTGGCATCTACAAGGGTACCATTGGCACCTACTAGGGTACCACCATAGCTGTAAATTCCTATAAATAAAAAAGAAAGATGTATTAGGGTCTTTATTAAATGCCTATTATTTCAACTAACAACAACGTGCACACTCTAATATTCAATTAAGTATTGTGTATGATATTATAGAATTTTTTTTTATTAATTTTTTGTTTCATGTTAAACTCAGAACGTAGAATTTATTAAAATCATAAAGTTGAAAAGTGAAATAATGGGACAACAAATATAGGGACATAGGGAAATCACCTAATTTGAAGATACCTATTGGAATATTTTTAATTATATTGGAACTAACCCAACTTATTTATGATATAACACTTAATAAGTGACTACAATTCATTCAATCTGTCAATGAGACAAACCAAGTAGGCTCAACCGATGTTTAGAGCATTTTAAAAATATATGAGCCAATTACAAATAACCCAATATAGTCATTTAAACAATATAACTGCATCGTTAGACTCCATACATTACAAATCAAATCCATTTAATTTTTACATGCATACCCCATTCTTGTAACTAAAAACAACTATTAGGTATAATTTTAGATAGATTTTCCCAGTAAACAATTATGAATGTTGGATTACAAAAAAAATTATTATCCAAGGGTACCACTAACATACAAAAGGTTACCACTGACATTGACATTGTTAATAATAAAACTATTATTAAGAATACAACAATACTTGGTACTTTTGGAGTATTATTAACTAGGTTTCAGAGGTTTACTACTAAAAGTGACATTAGTCAAATTGGGTTTTAAAAATGTACCACCTAGATATATGCTAACAATGTTCTATTGTAACATTTCCAAGTTCACTGTACGAAGGCGCACTACGAATTCAATCTGAGTTCAATTTGAATCCAATCCGAAGAAAAAAAATCCAATCCGAATCCATTTAAAATTAGTCTGAATTCGAATTCGATAATTAGATCTGAATCCGAATGGAAGGCAGATCGGACTTGGACCCTATGCAAAGTCTGACCGAGTCCGATTTGACTCCAAGTCCGAAAGTATGAGTATATGCTTTATAACTTGGGAGTTGGGACAATTGCTTGCTTGTTTTATAGAAGAAATTTATTATGTAACTTAGTTCATAATTTAAATATGTTATGTTTATACTTCATTCGGTATGACAATACAAAAAATTATAGGTATATCACACATTACAAAAAAAAAAAAAAAAAAAAAAAAGTAAAAAAAAAAATATTTAGGTCATTTTGGAGGTCCAAATAAACGGACATGATTTAGATCTGAAAATAATGAGTCGGATTCGAACTCGAATTCGACTCAGATTCAAATCCGAGTCTTAACGGATTGGATTCAGATTTAGTCACATCCGACTGGAATCCAATCCGTTGTCATTCCCAAGTGTAACATGCTTTGATATCCTACTCTTCCGTTTCGCAGTTTAGCAGAAGATTCAGTGGAATTCCTGCAATAAAGACAAGTATAATATTAGGATTTTTATTTCATTATGTGTAATAATATATTATATACTTCTATACATGTACTTTCCCATTGTTTCAATGACTGTATAAAAGATTAGAAACCATACCTCTAAGCAAGAAATAATTCATAGACAATACCAATTTAACTATATACACATATATGATTCCTCCAATTTCATCAATTTTCCTCCATCCTAAATTATATTCAAACAAATGAAATGTATACGTCCACTAGGCCACTTTCCATTTTCTCTTTCCCATTAAATTATCTCATCCAAACATACTGTAAAATAGTGAATTTGAAACACATCATTGTACAACACAAAGAAAAGCACTCGCTTAGAAGAAAACACATCTCCCATGATAAGAGTAAAATTAGTGCGGCTAATCCATTAGATGAATGTTGCAACACATATTCCAACATAACTAAATAAATCCTATTATTACTCAACCAATATGAAAAGGCATCTGGACAGAAAATTAATTATGAGAAGTCGGAAGTTTCTTTTAGTAAAGGGGTACCTATTGAGCGGAGAGAAGGTTTGATGGAGATATTACACATGCGACAGGTTAACAGACATGAAAAGTATCTTGGTATTCCGACTATTATTGGCCATTCGAAGAAAGCTATTTTTGAGGCAGTCCTTGACAGAATTTGGAAGAAAATATAAGGGTGGAAGGAGAAGCTCCTCTCGAGAGCGGGAAAGGAAATCCTTCTTAAATCTGTCATTCAAGCCATTCTGACCTACTTGATGGGTGTGTATAAGTTCCCGACGTCGATTATTCAAAGAATACATTTAGCTATGGCTCGCTTTTGGTGGGGATCTAAGGAAGGACAGGAAAATACACTGGAAAAATTGGGAATCAATGTGCACCCTTAAATGCCTAGGGGGTATGGGATTTCGCAACTTGGGTGTTTTCAACGATGCTCTTTTAGGGAGGCAAGCCTGGCGTCTGGTAAAGTCCCCGTCATCTCTCTTAGGACGTGTTTTCAAAGCGAAGTATTACCCCCACTCTGATTTTCTTGAGTCTGATCTCGGGTTGGCGGGGAGCTACTCTTGGCGTAGTATTTGGGCTTCTAAGGCTATAATTAAGGAGGGTGTCCTATGGAAAGTTGGAAATGGTCATAGAATAAATGTATGGTCTGATACATGGGTAGCCGATGCGGAGGGACGCTTTATCTTAAGCAATGGATCCACAGCTATCACGCATGTGAGTGATATTATTGATGAGGTAACAAAGGAATGGAGATATGACCTCCTCGATGAGCATTTTAACACCAGAGATAAGCAATGTATCTTGGAAATTCCCCTAGCTGAATGAACTCAAGATGACGAGCTGATTTGGGCTTTTTCCAAGTCGGGTGACTCGGTCAAGTCTGCGTATTTACTTGGGAAAGGGTGCGACCTAGACCTCTTCCATCAGACTTGGATCAAAATTTGGAAGGCTAATGTTACTCCTAAAGTACGACATTTTTTTTTTGGAGACTCTGCTCTAATATTCTTCCTATGAAGAGTCTACCGCACTACCGGCACCTCATAAATGAAACCTCCTGCCCTTGATGTAATGGTGCGACAGAATCAGTGTGTCATGCTTTTGTGGACTACATTCGAGTGCAAGGGCTTTGGGAGGACTGCCTATGCCCAGAAATGGCAAATTGGGGACAGTATAACTCCATGTGTGACCTTGTGATAAGCTGGAAAAATCTTGATCCGAAAGTTGTGCAACGTGGTATGTAACTATCCTGGTGCATATGGGGGGATAGAAATCTCAAAGTGTTCCAAAATAGAACAACTCCAAATGTCGTGACCATTTAACGCGTTGCTCGATATGTTGATGAACAAGGGAGCTATGCAGCTCGGATCTATGGGGCAGCAGGTCTTCGCTCTGTTCCCAGTCCAAACAAATGGTGTGCCCCTCCTACAAACGTCATAAAAATTAATGCAGATGCCTTCCTTACTGATGAAGGGTGGGTCGGCCTTGGGGTGGTAGCCAGAAACCAAGAGGGGCATGTCCTAGTGGCTACTACGAGAAGATCACAAGCATACTGGTCCCCTGAAATTGTCGAAGCAAAAGCACTGTTGTTTGCTCTGAAAATTGGAAAGATATATGGCTATTCTGATATTTTACTAGTCAGATTGCAAGTTGGTGGGTTGAGAAGCTGTCAAAGAACTCTCTGTCAGTAGAAGCTGATGCTGTTCTAGGCGACATTCTTGCTCTTTGTTCGGAATTCGTGTCTGTTGGTTGGTCTCATGTAAAGCGCGATGGAAACACCATTGCTCACAACCTAGCAAAATTAGTCCCTTTCGGCTTTGAACAAACTTGGGAAAATCACTGTCCCCAAGATGTCTCTCCTTATGTACTCATGGACATTTTGTCCCTTAATTAATTAATGGCTGAGGTTGTTTCAAAAAAAAATTCTATTAATTCCATGGAATATTAATAAGCAAACCACTAATTCTTAGATATTTTATGTCACCTCTTGGATGACTTTTCTAGCAATGTCTTTGGCCTTTGCTATATCATCAAGCCCACTATATATCATGATTAAATCTGCATCATTGTAATTAACCTGCTCAAGATGAAAATAAACTATTAGATATGACGTGAGTATAGTGATTAATTTCTATAAGAATAATGCATAAATAACAAATATAACCAAAAAGGGGAATTTACATAAATTCACGGTTTAAAAGTTAGACTAAAAATAACAAATATAACCAAAGCAAACACTAAGGACCAACAGAAGTTTGGGTATTGTGCACTATTAGTGGGGTTCAATGACCACAAAAAAATTAGCTCCAAATTACCAATAGATCACTATCCCTTGTAAACCATAGCATCCTGCAAACAGGACGCATACATTTCATTCCTCCAATTTCATCAACCAACAACAAAAGGAGCTAAATAAAAGATAAGCAAAATTGGCAACCCGCATTTGATTCTCCGTCAATTAGACTACTCGGTTGTCTTCACTTTATGGTCAAACAAGATCTATATTCCGGATTTACAATGAAAGGTACAAATTTGAACTACCAATGCTTACCAGTAAAAAATAATGAACACTTTCCCCACTCAAAATAAAAGAAGTGAGCATGATCCACCCTACAAAATTGCCCTTAATTATTCCCCATTTTCAATCTTACTTCCCAAAACAAGCGTCAACCAAGATAAGCTACAACCAAGACATATCTTTTCAAAATTTAGCTATTCACTTACATATTGCACACAGGTTCCATCACCCCAAAACCAAAACAGCGGAACACACTAGTTGTTCTCACAGATTCAAAAGCTTAATGTATCATAATAAGAAACACACTAATTACATCAAACAAACTTAAATCACCTTTCAAATTAATTATATCAAAAAAATTTGGAAGAAGCTAAATTAAATCAAACTCAAAAGAGATTAAGGTTACCTAACAATGTTTCATTAATATATGTAGTGCCACCACCACCACAACACTGCTACCACCACCACCACATTGTCTCTCCACCACAATACTACAACACCACCACCATACCACCAGTTTTATGGTTTGCACATTCTTTCTCTGTCCCACCACCACCTCCATTTACCAAAGCACAAAAATCTAAGTAACGAGGTTGCACAAGTCCTCGAAAGGGCGGAAGATTATGTATAACTGAGCGAAAACATGGTAATTCTTGTCTCTATTTCAATTTTTTTCTGAAAAACTAGGGGGAGACTATGGGACAGACTGGAGCAAATTCAATCTTACCCATGGTGGAGACTAAAATAGACCTAGGCCCTTCCATGGTAGAGAGTGAATTTGACCTAGGCCCCTCCATGGCGTGCTCTCGATTTAATCTAGTCTTGTCCATAGTGAAGACTTAATTTGACCTAGTCTCACCCTTTTTCAATTTTTTGTACTGCGCTTTTGTTGTTTTATCTATTAATTTTTCATTTTTTTGTTCAATGGGATCCTTTACAATATTTTGGTATAGATGTGGTGGTGTTGTGTGGTGGTGCACGATAATGTTTAGCATCGTGGGCGGCAGCAAGTGGTTGTCGTGTGGTGTAGGAAGCAGTAGGAGGTGTTCTTGAAGGCGACATGTGATGTCGTGTGGTGTGGAAGGCAGCATGCATAAGCTGTTCTTGGAGACGACAAGGGGTGTCGTGTGGTGCGGGTGACAGGTTGTGGTTAGGAATGGCAATGGATCGGACTCGGATTGGATCTTGCAAAATCCGAATCCGACCTAATTAACAATCGGACCCTAAATTCGAGTCCGAATCCGAGTCCATGTAACCCAGGTCCGATCCGCCTAAACAACTAGACCTTCTAATCCGAGTCCGCTTGACAATTTATTAGAAGAAAAAGAGTACATAGCATGACCATGGCTTAAAAGTAAATTTTCATATTTGCTCATGAAATAACTTTTAAATTTTCATTCCGGCCATCTTTAATCAAAAAGTCACTAAAAAATTTTGTCTTCACGTCAATAATCTATTAATCTAATTTCAAACAATAATAAACTGATCGTAGTCATAGGATTAATAGAAATCTATTTTTACAAGTCTGCTCTTTTTGTTTTCTTTTAAAGGTTTTACAAGTCTACTTGATGGATTTAAATTGTAAACAATATGAAATTATTATAAAAAAAATCGAAATAATGATAAAAATAGCACAAAAGAAATTATGAGAAATAAAGAAGAAGAACCAAACCTTGATGTTGTGTATGCCTATATGGCTACTTTGCTAATTGCTAGTGACCGTTGCGAATGGAGAGCAGAATATGCCCAGCCTGAAATTTTCCAATGTTGTAAACTTGTTATATGAACAATATGGTGTGTTTAAAAAAATGATGGATGATGGGGACAACGGTCAAATAGTTGTGACATTATAATTAAGTAGTGAGTAATAATTTATTGATTTATTATGGAAGTAATTTATAAAATATTATTCCTGTACGGTGTAGTTGTTAACTTGCGTGTTATTCACATTGATGACATGCTCTCGTATTATATCGTTGCATAATATTCATTGGTGATAAACTATGGAGGGATTATATTTTAAGGTTATGAAGCCACTTGTGCATGTTCATCAATTAAGAGCACTCGCATCTCCAATGACCAATGGTTTAATGATTTACTAGTATTCCGTGGCTATTTAGAGTACGTATCGTCGAATTCATAGTGAGTGTAATAAAGTTGCTCATGTATGAGTTAGCTTAGTGCTTACCATGGGGAATTAGTAGTTTTATTTGGCATTCGAATTTTCCTAGTTGTATTGTTCCGATTTTGAGTTATGAACTCCCTAACCCCTATGAAGAAAAGCCAAGTGTCTTTTGGAGAAAAGGGAACACATAGACATAGTTTATGTGTACCCCACATAAACAAAGATTTTTATTGGCTGAAAGAAGTTGGCCCACTTAGTCCCACTTGAATAGCTTTGAAATTTCTCTTTGAAAATTTACGAATGAAAAATTTTGAATTTTGAATTGGAAATTTAAATTTAATTGTACTTTTGGCGGTGAATGATGTTGGAGGATTTCCTAGAAGACTTCATGGAGGGCTGACGACGGTGGCTTAAAGGTGAGGGCTTCTTGGTGGCTTTAAGGTGAGGAATGACGACGGTGGCTTTACGCTGAGGGTCGACGATGGTGGCTCTAAGCTAAGGGTCGACGACGATGGCTTTAAGGTGAGCAAGGTGGTTGAGAGGAAAGGAAGGGTCAATGGTCGGCGTATTTCGAGAGTGATGTGGTTAAGAGTATGAAATAACAGTTTGCGAAATCAGAGAGTGATGGTCCATACGATGGTCGAAAACAATGAGGCTAAAATCAAAAGCAAACTACGGCAGGTGAGCGAGCGAAAGAGACGGCGAAAATCAGATGTATTGTTGTAGTATTGAAATTGTTATGAAAATATTTTGAATTCATCATTTATGTTATTTTAGTATAAAAAATTATTGTTTAGTATTATTTGTATTATATTAGTATTAAAAATGAATGTTTTATTAACAAAATTCATATTAAATTCTTAGTCGTGGGCTTGTGGTATAGTACAGACATAAATATCACAAAATGTAAAAATATGAAAAAAATGTTTATTGTTGAATATTTTCCCTGAATTTCTTAGTCGTGGTTACATAATATGTGATTTTCAACTTGAAAAGGGTTTGTGAATTTAAATAAGTTAGTTGTTGTAAATCTTTTAGAAGATGAGTTCTCTATAATTATAGAAATTGAAAACATCTGAGAAGATATAATGGGTATGTGATTGTTGGTGAATTGGTGAAGTGAGTTGATGGTAAAACATATAAATGGTAAATAAAACATCTAAGAAATGTTACCGTTATAATGGTTTCTAAACTTGTACTATTGATGTTGGATAGCAAAATTAGCATGAAAATATGAATATTATAAGGTAAATAAGAATTTGCAAATGGGTTGTTTGAGGTCGGTTTGGGTGGATCTCGGGTGGCGTTTATGAAGGGGTTGATAAAGGGGTTGTGGGAAAAAAGGTGGTTGGTCGTCGGCAAGGAGGAATAATAGGGTCAAGGGGTGAGGGAGGTGGTTTGTTTCATGGTTGGCGGTGGATGAATGTGAGGGCTTCAATGTAGTGGGGGTGGGTGGTTATTTTAAGTTTATAATAATATTTAAATACAACTAATTTAATAATAGGTACATTTAATTGTGTTGTAAGTGGTTTAAAAAAAAGTGTGTTGTAACTTGTAAGTCAACTGATTTAATTAAATAAAAGTATTTTCAAAATTTAGCTTATTGCTGAAAATATATCAAAAATTAATTATTAAGATTGCGGTTGTAACTTTTGTATGGCTAGACAATTTCCCCAAAGTTTTATAACTTTGGTTGAGATTGATTTGATTTAATAATATTGTCCGGCTAACGTTTTTTCAAAAAAAAAAAAAAGTTTGCGGTTGCACATTATTATGAGCAAATATCAATCTTGTGTGACTCTATTATCTAGTAGAGAAAAGTGATTAGTTAAGTTTTTTAGGTGTTGTCTTCAACTTTGATGGAGATATCTACGTTAAACATTATTTGAAAAAATTCAATAAAAAAAATTAATAATTAATGTCTGAATTTACATGTCGATATTATTGATCGATTAAGTTGTTGGTGAATATTTTTGTCCTTAATAATCCAATTTGAGGTGAAATGTAACGTTATATCTTAAACGCCTCATTTTGTGTGACAAAATATGTCTTGGTATAAGCATGTTTGCTTACTATCTAGCAAATCGATGTGTTTTTGAAATAATTTTTTCCCAATTAATTTGTGTTGAGTAATTAGGTTTTGATGATTGTAAACTAATGATGATTATCTATCTAACGTGTTTGTTAATTTGTGCGTAGAAAGAACAAGTTATGCTTGGAACAGGATACAAGGAACCTAAGCAATGTCAAGTAAGCAATAGAGAAACAAGAACAATGATGAGTGTCATGGTTGATAAGCATGATGATGGCTAAAGAACCATGAAGGTAACTATGTAAATAGGTGTTTTCATATGTAAGCTTCATGACGTAAGTACACTATGCATACATAAGTGGTATATGTGTAGAAGTATTTACATAAGCTTAAAGTTTAATTAGTTCTCTCACTTGAAGTTTGTTTATGACAAACAAACTTCAATCTAATGTTTCTCTTAAGTGTTTATGTGAAGACAGGAACTGACTTAGGTGAAGTCAATGGGTTGGAACATAGAATACTTCAAGAGGAACAAGAGAGAATGAATGAACCTAAAGCAGGTTCTCCCATGAGAACCAAACCACGAAGGAACCTGAAGGTATTCTCTAACAAGAACTAGAAGGAACTTTCGACAAGCTTTCCCACGAAAGCCGGAGCATGTTCCCTAACAGGTACATGAAGAGTTCCATGTTCCCTAACAGTACATGAAGAGTTCCCTAACAGGAACTTAGCTCTCTAACAAGAACTATCTAAGTTCCCTAACAGGAACTTGAAGACAACAAGTTAAGGATTTGACTTGGTCTGTGTTAAAGATGAAAGGAATGGTGTCCTTCGAACAAGTGTATTATTCTGATAGCGGGTTCAGAATTATTAGAAAGCTAATATATTCAGTAAGGTCAAGTGATCGAAATGTCTGGGTGGAGGCCGCTTCCGATCAGTAATTTTAATATAATTAATATTACAGCTTAATCTTGACTGTACCCTTCGGGTCACACCTAAGCAAAATATACGAACCAACTCGACGAATTAATTCGAAAGAAATTAATTCGTCGCCCGAGTGTTAAACATTTAGACGTCGGAAATTCGAGCTTGAAGCGTCAAAACCGAGCGTCTGAGAATCTCAAATGTCGAGCCAAAATTTAGGATTTGGCGAGACGGGAAAATGCATCAAGTAACAAGTATATCCTAGTCACGCAAAAGGCTAAGAATACATGCCCAATAGGAGCATGCCACGTGGCAGCACACATGGCAAAACGCCATGTGGCAGCACACATGGCAAAACGCCATGTGACAGCACACATGGCCGCCGCCAAGTGGCAGCAGCCCCGTTAGCAGCAACCTAGTGGCAGCCATCAAGTGGCAGCGTGCCACGTGGCAGCGCCATGGTGGCGGCGCGCCACGGTGGAGACACATGTGGCTATGGCCGTGGACCCGGGTTGATGGGTCATGGACACGGGCCAAAATAAAATGGGCCAACCGAACCCAACTTGGGGCTCAAGGTTGGGTGACACATGGTTAGTTCACATTGCATGTGAAATGCCTTGGGGACCAAGTGAGAAAGTGGTCCACACCTAACCATGTGACACTTGTCACTTGTTCCTTTGTTTATTTAACTAAGGGTTGAATTCACCAATCTTTCCATGTGGGATCTTTTTGTGAAAAGTCCCACATTGGAAGATGAGTGAAATTCACAAGGCATACTTCCTTATAAATAGTCATGGAATGACTTGAGAATTCTTAGCTTGAGTGGGAGTTAAAAAGAGCATTCCATAATTTTGGGAAAACTCTTAAACTCATATAACACTC